GTCACGCTACATCACTATAACCGTAGGTTGGGTCACCCAGTCCGGTCTGTGGCAGTGGTAGTGACAAACACTTTAAGACCGATGCAAGAGGGCCCCGGTTGTGAGTGGTCTTGAGGCCCCAGATATTTCGGGTTACTTTAACGTGCGATTCACAAAAGGGTCACTTTTTCCGGTCACCGATTATATATATATATATATATATTATATTTATATCTTTATTATTACCATTACCATTATTATTACCAGTGAATGAACCCTAAAGTAAATGATATTATTGAATGAGGGCTTGTAGAGTGCGGTAATGGATGAATCATTCTTGGCCACGCGGTTAACTTTTATTGTGCGAGTGACAGTGATTCAACTCCATATATTCATCTGATATCAGCACCAATGTGTCCCTGATTCCAAAGAACTGAATGACATTTTCGATACGTCTATTTCTGTGGAATGAACCACTATCACCTAGTGATGGGTGTTGTGGCCTGCGATCGAGTGAAACGTTTACCGCTCATCACGTGTTTGACCGTTGCAGCCTGCCATCACACGCACGGACGCACGTCATGTGGACTTACCCTGTTACAAGGTCGATTGGTGCAGGCGCTCCAAATGCTTTGTGAAAACCAAGACGGAACATGACGTACTACTTGACCCAATTGGGGAAAGGTCACGTCAAATAACACGTTAAACTTTCCTACACACACACACGCACACACACACAAACGCACACTCCCATTACTCTCTACCTTCGAATATTGACTTTAAAATGCGCCAATGGCTACGATTATGTAAGATTGTTTTCCACTATGTGATACATAAGAGCATGATTAGGAATATACAAAAACAATTGTTCGCTCACGGACTCATTTTCTCAGTTTTTTATAAATTGTGATGTATTTATTAGCCTGCAGAAGAATCTCCGCACATAAGCTCGTTCGCTACTCTCTGTGTTTTCTTACAACTAGCAGTATCTCTGGAGATGAATGATAATCAGTTGTAAACATGTAGTCAATAGATACACGTAATCAAACACTCTATAAGTTTGTGAGTGGAACAGGTGGATGGCTGAGAAAGCCACTGACCAAGGGTGGAATAAAGAGGATGGAAAATATCAAATAGAATCTTATTGGATAATGTTTTGTAGTACTTAAGTTGGTGTGTAGCCACATTCTGTACGAGATGCTCCCGTGGTATGAGACTACAAACCGACAGAAACTTGTGGGATCGGGAAATGAGTTGGAGGTCCTTGCTAAAAAGACCAGAGTAAATAACAGGGGACCCGTAAAGCCAGTGGGGCAAAATCCAAATAAAAGCAAAACGCCTTAAGAGATGGTTTGAGGTAGAAGGTGAGCTAAGCCGTAAAACATAAAAACGTGAGTCCCCGGACCTTCAGAAAAACGTCATTAATGAAGTCAGACCAGTTGAGGTTACGGTTGAAAATAACGCCAAGTCATTTGACAAACGGCTGTCATTCAATCTGATTGTTGAGGATAGATATAGGCGTGCTGGCATTTGATAATTCATCATACTTTTGTCCTTTCAGAAAGGATGGGGTTTATGCGTAGGTTCCTTCGTTGAGACCACTCAGCTATTACTGACACGTTTTCTTGCAGAGTAGTTTAAAATGATAGGTTGCAGCAGGCTATTCCAAATGTTCTGTCGTCTGCATACTTAACAAGAAGAGAAGAATCGCTCATACGCACAGAGGAAAATTAGGCGGAAAATAGGAAAGGGGATGAAATAGCACCTTGCAGTACGCATTGTGAGGGGGCTGCAATGAATATGCACGGTCTTTGTAGCGTGTGATCTGAAATACCTTGCCAATAGTTCAATCGTAGTAGGTTGAACTTTGCCCGAAGAGAGGGTATTTAGCAAAATTTGTCCATCAGTTGTGTGGAAAACATCACTGTAGTCAAGAAAATATATGCATGCAGCCTTGGTTTTCTTATCCAGCCAGATTGGATAAAACAAAGTCAGACAGATAAGCGAGAACATAGAGGGTACCTCGAGAATAGGTGTATGAAAATATTAGGCCCTCATAACTGCGCAAATTTCTTTTTCATTTTACTTCCTTTCTTGGAATATAAAAAGATAAAATAATTTTTCAAGAAGGGGGACTCTACCAATCAAACGGGGCTGCCATTTAACACACAAAAGGGAAAGTCGGGCAGTGGTAGTGGGGTTCGAACACACATCCCAGGGGTGAAAATTTGGTGACGTTACCACCGGTTCAACACCACCTTTTGTTCACTATTTCTATCCAACCGAAAAATACAGAGAAAAAGAATGTTTCCATCTGAAAGCAGTTCAGCGCGTGTGATTTATCGCCTCGGTTGGACACGCCAAGTTATAAATAGGGCTTGTAAAAACGGTGAAAAATCGATTGTCGTTTGTAATCAAAATCAGAGGGACTTTCCGGCCATATGAACACAGAAATGTGAGGTCAAATCTTGGCCCAGATTTGATCAATTCTATGAGAGAAGATTTATATTTTCTGACCCCCTAAATGCCAAATTTCTCATTACCCGACATAAATATCAATCATCATGTGTGAAAAAAACCCCAGTTTATACTGATAATTACCAAAGCATCAATTCACTTGCACATGTTCGGCAAGTTATGTAGGACGAACGATAAGGCAGCTCTCCCAAAGGATCAGAGAACATAAACCGGCTTGGCTGAGAACGAATTGCAAGAAAACAATAACCAGTGCGATTATGGGCCACCTCGCTGATACCGGACATCAGCCAGACAACGACGCTTTCAAAGTCATCTACAAAGTACCCCAAAACAAATCAAAGCAAGTTCGGATACGTCACTTGTCAACAGCGGAAGCTGTAGCAATCAAAATCATGAACCCACCACTGTGCAAACAGAAGAAGATGGTTGCCGCACTTCAGCTGCCTTGGCCTCAATCAAACCTACGTGATGACCCGAACCATGACCTCAATCGTATCATGATGACGCAACATGACGTGACAAATGACACATGAAAAGAAAGGTCACCGAAAAATCCAAAATTGACCTTCCCCCCCCCACCCCTTTTTCACCCACTGTCCCCATTTTATCCACTGACCCCGATTAAACTTGACAGACATTGTTGCATTTTCACACATAACCTCTATGGTCCAACCACATTTATTTCTACATGAGATATAAATACGCACACATAACTGTAAAGGCCTGAAGACGAAGTTACGAAAACAAGCTTGTTCGCCATACTGTTTTGCCTTTGATATTCATATGGGAATCTTCCGTGAATTCTAAATGGATTTGGACCCTGTCGCCACCATGAAATACTGTTGGTACTTTCCAGTAGTTTTGGATCCACGATGACGCACAGAGTACTCCAGTCTGAGCGTTCCATTCCCTCCCTCGATGTCCTCGTATTTTCGATTCCGGGAGAATCTAGGCTGTTTGCACACAAATAATTATATAATATGGTTCAGCATTAGTGCACATTATCTGGCGCTTCCACTGAAACCTTGCACTGCTGTTCTGCTTTCCTTAGCTGAAGTCATTGGAAAAAGGACCATGAGTCACGTGAGATATGCAGACGCAACAATAGGCGGTAGTGACCAAATGGTTAGTTCATCAACTCCTGACCTGAGTCCCGGGTTCGAACCGCTGCGTTTGCAAAACCGTAGGTATGTGTCTTTACAGCACAAGATGACGTCCATTTAGGAATATGCTTAGCATCGGAAACAACCAGATGCCGATATATGACTAGCATGTTCTGTGGCCTGTGGAACGATGGCCAATCTATATAAGCACAGAGAGGATAAATGTTCCAAGATAAAAACATTTTATTTCGCTTTCTGCAACGCTTCAAGATACATGCATAATAACTCAATGGCTGAACCATTTGATCGTCATTATATGAATAAACGTAAGCCATACACTTTTCTATCCTTGCATATGGTCATTCCTCTCCTTCCTACAAGGATCAGTTTGTTTTGTTCTCACTCCTATTCTCTCTCCGTTTGAATTGGCTTGTAAATCATACAACGCATTGTGAATGAGATTTCCAACGAGGACTAATTTGAAAGTCACGTGAGCCAATCGGTGAAGTGGAAGCGATGTGTCATTCTATCTACATAGAACTATGTTAGTGCACAGTGTAAACGCAGTCGAATGTTGTGATAAATCTGGACCGTGGTCACAATCCTTTTCCCTAGGTGGCATAAAGATCTAGATGAACACAAATCATCTAGATGAAAAAGATATGTTACAGTTGGGATCGCGAGTATCGGTCAAGGGAATTTGGTAGAGCTGGTAATTGTGACTTTGTGCGTATCTTTGATGAGTTTCTTATGGTAATCGGCAGCTAAACTCCGGGAGTGGCGAGGGACATCAGGTCCGGATTAGAGAACCGCCGCACGGAACTGCTTACAACACGAGTGCACTGAAAACTACAACACTATTTGTCACACATAGAAAAACTAGTGAAATCAATTTCGTTTGTAAAGCTTTGTGGCATCCAGAAATGAACGATCATTTAGTTAACATCAAATGTATCACTTTTGAGTTTTCATTCGCAATACCATGATTTTATTTATGACACAGGGTACAATCGTGCAAAACTGCTTTTGACCCGCTGTGATGTGTGACACTGACCTCGAAATTCCTTGTACATTTTAAATGCATTGAATATGCATAGTATACGATTCGAATAAAGTTCGTGTGCTATTTTATTCGAAGTTGTTCTGTTTCGGGGATTGGTATTGCGCGAATTCCGGAATCCCATTTTGAATACTGTTCCAAATACTNNNGATTATTTTGAACGTTTTGAGATTTGGTGGTTGACCCGTCCAAAACCCGATGAGGAAAAGAAATCCGCTTTCTTTTTGAATGCTGCCGGTAAAAATGCTTATACATTAATCAAAAACTTGGCTTATCCTTCTCCACCTGTTTCCGTACCGTACGATGATTTAAAATCCCTCCTCCTCCAGCATGTGAAGCCAACGAACTTCGAAGCCTCAGAACGAGCAAAATTTCATTCAATGGTACGCAATCCGAATCAGGGCATCCGTGAATTCATCCTGGATTTGCTCACTCAAGCTGCAAAGTGTGATTTTGGAGATTTACTGGACATACAATTGAAAGATCGGCTGATTGCTGGTATTAACAATACCGTATTGCAAAATGAACTTCTGAAGCTATCCAATACGACGTTCAAAGATGTGCGGGCTTACTGTGAACAATATCAGGACATTTGCGCCATTATTTCATCCATGCCGTCCACCATTGAATCTACAGCCATGTTCAATTCACTCAAGACTAAATCCACGAAAGCTCATGCTACACCTGGACTTTTCAAACTAGTCACACAATCTAACTCACACAATGTGACATATTCGGATAAATCCTATGGCAATTGTGCATCCTGTGACAAACGTCATTCCAGATTCACATGTCGATTTCGTTACGCTTTATGTCATTAGTGTGGCAAAACTGGCCATATTCAGTCTGTTTGTCGCAGTACCGAAACCTGTCGTTTAATTCAAGCCCGAGACTCAGAAGTGAGTAATATGGCCAAAGATTTTTCTTCTTTATCTTTAGCAATTACCTCCCATTCCGGTCACATCCGTAAACGGCTATTCAGTTCTACTGGTAATTCGCTTCACTTCATTTTGGACACTGGTAGTGTGGAATCTCTAATTTCTGTTCACGATTTAAAACTGTTTGCTCCAGATGCTAAACTTCAGCCATCCACTGTCACCATTAATGGCATTACTGGACACTCACTGCCTGTTGTTGGTTCTTGTGAGATTTCAGTCAGTGATGAACATTCTAAAACTGTTACTTGTACATTCATTGTAACCAAATCTGGCCCATCCATACTAGGCTTGAAAGCCATGCAAGCATTAAATGTCAATCTTTCCTTGCTAACCTCCATCGATACTGAAAATGAATTGAAGGATGTGATTATTAAATGCTCAAGGGCCAGTGGTGGCATGAAAATTTCCCCAGTGAGACTACCAGGTAATGGCGATCCAGTATTTCTCAAATGCCGAGTCATTCCATATGGCCTTCGCGAACCTGTCTTGAATGCGTTGAATAACTTGTGTTCCAAAGGCGTTATAGAGAAGTTGTAGTCTTTTGCATGGGGTACACCAATTGTCACACCACTCAAGTCGGATGGCAAGACCCGAGAATATGTGGTGACTACCGAATCACCTTAAATCCAAGACTGTTAAAGCGAACATGTACAACGGCTGAACCAGAGGACATCCTGAATAAGTTGACTGGTTCTAAGATCTTTTCCAAGATTGACTTAAAAGATGCATATTTACAAATTCCGTTGGATGAAACATCATCCACTTTGACAACTATTTATACCCCTTTTGGTTTGTACAGATACAAGTTTCTGCCATTCGGTTTATCCGTTTCTCCTGCTATATTTCAACAAGTCATGAACGATATTACTAGTGGTATGTCTGATGTTGAAGTATATCAAGATGGCATTATTGTTCATGCTCCTGACAAGTCCATTCATGACGCACGATTGCTTGAACTCTTTCGTAGATTTTCTGATTAAGAATGTTGCTGCTAATCCTAAGAAGTGTTTATTTTCTGTCTCTCATTTTGAATATCTTGGATACTTAGTTAATGGTAAAGGGGACAAACCTGACCCGAACCGTCTATTTCCTCTAACAAAAGACAAATCACCGTCTAATATACACGAACTCAGATCATTGATTGGAGCCCTACACTATTACTCTCGATTTATCCCTAATTTCCGTCAGAAAGCTTCATCCCTATTTCTTCTCTCTTCTTCTGACAAATTTGTTTGGAATGATGTTCATGAACGTTGCTTAAGTGAATTACTAAATTTTCTGCAGACTGATGCTGTACTTCACCCATTCAATCCCAAAATTCATTC